GGTCAATCAATGTCGATCAGTTAATGCGGGCCAAAAAGTCGACATCTGACGCAAGCATTAATCTGAGGCACAACATAAATACCCAATAGCGGATCGTACGTTTTATATAGGCGTTCAATATATATCGGAATGCCGATAGCTTGCCCTTCATAGGAAGAAATTCGGCAATTTTTTATGATTCATCCTTGATAATTAGTCAATCAAATTGCATATTTTAAAAGTTCTGTTGAAATACTTTATACTAACAGCGATAAACACATATGAATAAACTTATAAATTAATAAATATTTATGAATTAATTATGTAATTTAATAAGGGAGATGAGTATTATGCGAATTAGATATTGTGGCGAATTGGGGATATCTCGTGATTCTGTGATTAGAATCAAGTAAAATTTAGACCATTCGATTCCTCTCATCGTGAGAAATCGAAAGATAGAAATTTTATTCGATTTAGACCGTTACTTCATGAGATAAATACAATTTTGTATATTTGTTAATATATAACAGTATCAGTATAATCACTTTCGTGACCTAGTGATTAAAATTGAGCGATACTTATGCCAATTTTAATTGAGAGGAATCAATTGATACAAAACTTGCTCATGAGATATTAGTGTTTAAGCTATTAGAATATATAGAATAATATATAAATACTATAATAAAAATGTATTATGACAAACTTTATATCTCGTGACCCCGGGATCAGACCCAATGATTTTTATACCATCTGATTCCTTTAATAAGAGGAATCGAATGGTATAAAAGCCCTTGAGTTCTGATCTCGGGTCACAAGATATCATCGATTTGCCGCAATACTTTCCAATGCAAAATCACATTATTTACAATAAAATTTTAACTCAAGTATCTTTGGATCTAGTGATCAGAATCGAGTGTTTTAGTATCAATCAATTCAGCTCAATGAGACGAATCAAACGCTACCAAAACCATTTGATTTCGATTAGTATATCACATGATCCTGTCAAAAATTGTTAACTTCGCCATAATACCCCTACTTCCCTTATATTTTAAAGCATAGGCAAATACTTGCAAAGTGAGATAAAAGCGATGTTACGGTTGATTCCGTAACCTTTGGTACAAGTTGATCATGTACTTCCGAGGAATGTTAGTTGGAATGTGTAGGTTTTCCAATGTGGATATCAATATTAGTATTAATTCCTAGATATAGCTCTAAGTCCGATGGATTCACATAGGAAGGTAGATAGTCTTATGTGAGATTACGCCAATTAATTGATCTGTGCGTTATTTCGAATACGTCCATGAGCGTTATATTGAAATATGATTAGATATTCTAAATCCAATACATTCAACTTTCCATAAATGCACGTTATTGAATAAAAGAGCATTTATAAAATGTTCATTTATGGGGAACAATCTACATATAATTAAATAATCACATTAGACCGATCAAACTATGTGCACTTATCATTATAGGAAAGGTACATGTGAAGTTGGGGTGGACTGTCAACTACGATCGAATGAAGGCAAATTGGGCTCCAATCGGCATCATGCAATCCCGATATGAACCTGAAACAGATACAAATCGGGTCCATATAGGCGATTAATACATATCAGGATGCCGATAGCTCTATTGATAAATTCGATAAAGAAGCTTTATCGATTTACAATAGAGCTATCGGTATTCTGATATGTATACGAACCAGATTTGTGTCCTAAAGGTCTTCTATTTGCGTCAAATATCCGTTTCAAATCAGGTTCATTTCGAGTTTGCATGATGCTGATTGGAGCCCGATTTGCCCTCATTGATTTGTTGATTAATCAGTAACATATTGGTGGCTAGGCGTAAATACGATTTGCGAGTATCCGAATATTATGTATTTAGTTATCGTTTATTGAAATTTTCCTTATTGAACGAATTAACTAACACTTGATATTTGCCCTTACTATTATTTCGGGCGCATAATGATGAGTACTTTATTTAATTTTCACTTTTCTTATATACATTTCTGTTTTCTATGACTAATTCTATTTCCTTCCTTTTTCTTCTAGCTCTTTTCCTACCACTATCATTAATATAATCATTCGATTTGGGTTTCACTAGATTTGGGTAAGTTATTTCTCCGTTTTTCTATTTTTATCTATTTTGCTTTTACTAACCGACTTTTCTTTCTTTATCACAAACCCACAAAGTCCCGCCACTCTGAAATATTGTTATCTCTTCCTGATTTGGCGGCACGCCTATCTATGAATCGTACGATTATATGAGGCCCCAATATGCTGGTTTCACCCAATTTTAGGTTGATCGTGAATGCCAAAATCCAGGGGCATCGTTAGTAAGTATGCCATTTGCAAACTACACATCGACGCTTTATAGCATTATTCACTAAAGAACTAAAGTTCTCATTATTTCTTCTATGTATTTTTTTCGTAAATGTTTCATATTCCCGGAATTTATAACCTTAAATCAAGGAAATTATTTGACTTGCCTAGATTTTGTGATCATGTTGCAAATTAACGGAGTTTTCACAAAAAAAATATGTAAAAATAATGAAAAATTTCATACAAGGTTTTACAGGCTTCATTATCTCCTGGATTCGTTTGTCTAATTCATGTTTCATTGCACACACTTTATCAGCAGTAGGTTCATTGTATTTCATTATGTTCATTAAAATCATTTTTCAATATTCGGATGGCCTTTCTCTTATCATATCCATTCTCTCTTACATAGGCCTCTATTTCAAGCGCACTTAATGTCTCAACTAAACTACGACGAACTTCCTTGTGTATTTTTCGTTTAGATCATTTATGTATAACATTATCAACTAAAATTCTTCACTTTTTGCCAATTTGGCCTGAGCTTGTCATAGTATGCGATCATTTTATTTTTAACTTGCTTTAAATTCATAAATATGATTAACCTAATATTCATCATATTCTCTCTTCATGTTTAATTCAGCTTATTCCAACTTTGGACGTCCGAATTTGATCCCTTGCTCACAGCTTTAGTCAATCAGAGTTATGCCGAATCACTTAAACTTTAATTTACGTCTCGCTTCATCTATTGAATGTGATTAAACTTCGAATTCGAGCAATTCTCTCTTCGTAGTTATCACAATAACAAGGCATCTGGAGGTTGGCACTCTTTATTGTGTCGTTTCATTTAGGTTGAATGTTCCTTTCAATTGTCCGTAAATTCAAGCAATTCAAACAGTAACAGTTTTTTTTTTTTAAATTACTTTACTCTGTGTAAAGTTCGATCTACCCTACACTAATTGCTTTTTGACACTTTCAAAACTCTTGGTTCTTCGAAATCCAACAGTAAAACCTTTCTCTTACTCGGTGTTTGCTGTAATGAAGTTGACGAACTCCTACGATTTAGATAGCCAGAGATACTCGCTTTATATTGATTCAAGATTGGAATATCATTCAAATACTCCACTGGGTTCAAAACCGCATAGAGACTTTAGATATCGACGATCCTGCATTGTCTCGATGGCCTTTCTTATTGAACGTCGAAGACTTCTTAAAAACCTCGTATATATATTCGCAATTAATTATTACTAATATGCAAAGTCGGATTACCCATCCAAATCGAGCTCAGCGCTATAAAATCCCAGATTATTCGATTAACCCATGTTATCAATTCTGATAACTCAAATGTGTCAAGTTTTTAGTAAGATAAAAAGCTTCCGAATGCAAAAAAGGTTAGTTGATTTCCGTTTAAATATAATTTAAGGCCACACAAAGTTAATTTTTCGTTTTACATTACCCACCGACCATTTTTTCAATTTTTCTAATTATATATATACATATATACCCCATTTGTGCCAATTATTCGATTTTAGCTATTTATTTTTTCCTGCAATTTTATCCGGTATCACCCGGTGAGACACGATATCCCGGAATTATCCGATAGGATCGACAGGAAAAAACAACTGCCAACTCAATTTTCTAATTCCCTGTTGTGCAAAAAAAATAATAACTTTGCATAGCCTTGAAATATAAAATATGATTCTACTAACTTAAAGTAGTTTTTTTTTTTAAAAAAAAAAATTCGACCGACCCAATTTTCAGATTCCATTAATGTAAAACGAAAAATTAACTTTGCGTGGCCTAAAGCCTAGGATCGATATTCTAATTAGGTAAAAGCTGAAGATATAAGCAATTTTTTCAAAAATGTCCGCTTCAAATTTGCTGAAATATTTCGGGCAAATTAAAAACATTTCGGCCGGGCAAGTTATTTTGCACTAAATTATTTTGTTCTGGTGAAATTATTTCTTACTGTAGTCCGTTACACTATTATATTTCACTGGCTAATTGAGATTAAGCCGAATCTTTATTCTAGACCGAGAAACTATGGTCAATGGCTTCCTGCGCCCCTCATAAAATACGGTCCGAGAGAGTAGGCTCTATAAGTAGCCAAAGAAGTTTAGTTTTTACTTGGTACTTCGTTCTTTGTCTGGATACAGTACGTGGGGTGAGGTCTGCATCCCGGTTAAGGAGCAGACAGTGGGGAGCAGAGTTAGGCATAAAGGTCTACAGATTCTGAAGAAAAGATATGACAAGAAATAAATGGTTACAGCCTAACCATTTTGACCTAGTTTTACTATCTGAAAATTTTTCGTCTTTTTTTTCTGCTTTCATTCCATTTTTTTTGCGGTGTTAATTGCAAAAAACCACTCAAGAAACCACCAAGAAAGAATATATAAAAAGGATTTTACATTCACACGATTCTGGTTCCATTTCGATCGCGATAATTTAGATGGTACGTTTTACCAGCATTACTCACGTTGGCAGTTGTTTAGTAATAACTGATGCCTTATACTCGTTCGTTTCAAATCCAATTCCATTTTTACCGCAATGTTCAAAATTTTTCGCTTTGTATCAAGATTCGGTTCGGCAGGTCTTTTACACTTTTTGGGCACTTCATGCTCAACTTTTTCGGATCGGATTCTTCGCATAATCCATCTCTGGCTTTTTAGCACTGACTTCGGATTCATCTTTCTTCAACCCAATTTCAATGGTCATGTTCAAAGGTTTGTCAATCCTTGTCTCTAGTTCCATTTTCATAGCGACAAGCAAGGCTAAATGTTTTTTTTTATCGAACTCCATATCGGCGGGTTTTGGTAGTAAGTGAATGCCTTATTTTTGTCCTTTCTAATACTTCGTTTGATAGTAATCACCTTTGGGTTCCAGAACAACATCCACATCGAGGATTTCTTCTTTCTCTTGGACCGCTTTCAAGGTTAGGTTATCGCGGATGGTAAACGATTCTTATGGCAACTTATTAAGGTTTCTTTCTTTATTTCTGACTTCTTCTCTTTCTGGGTTTCTCTCTTCAGACCAATTACATTACATTCAAGTTTCAAAGAAGCTTTCGAAGTGTTCTCGCAAGGTGTATTTGCTGATATTTTACTTTCATCATTTTTTGGGAGGATTTTATTGAGCAGCTTTCCTGGGTAAATATTATTAGGCACCCATTTTAGAGGATGAATGATAATCGGTTGCTGCCTTGTGTTCAACTGCTCTACATTGGATATAACATTAAGAGTCGGGCGTTTTGCAACATGATTCATCTCCGTAGATTTTTGATAGTTGTCTTTCTCATCTCCGGTCCATTTTTGTAGCGGGGTCCAAGCTTTTCTGTTGCGCTAGTATTAGAGTTGGCCTCGAAACGAAACCTACCCGAAACTGGTTTCGGGAAGGTTCTAATCCGAAACTAGTTTCGGATTTTT